ATTAATATGAATATGAGTCAACATATTAATATAATATGCCGCGCTAGTGGGCGTGGCGAGCCACGCGGCGGGAAAGTTGTCCTGCGTGGCCGTTTGAGTATGGGTGTCAAAGGGAGAGGAAAAATCGATGTCAACCGTAATGGGGTCTTGTCTTCGCTGTGAGTTTCGCTGCGCCAATCGATAAATTGATGAATGTCGAGAACCTACCGCGCATGCTACACGATACGCTGCAGGCGGAGACAGCAAAAATTACGATATCTTGTCTGCCCCCTCGATTGCTACTTTTACATGTACCAGTGTCATTTCTTTAAGATTGAACAACTGCCAGTGCGAACCACTGAGACCGAAATTTTCATAGCGTCTGCTCAAAAGAATCTACTGCAGGAGCGTATGAAGCTTTGTAAGACCTTGTGGGACGAAGGATTCAAGGTGCGTTATCAGCTTTTATTTTGTTACTCGATAATGAAATTTTGTTACTCATTGCATCTTTTTCAAGGTTGAGTTTGCGTACAAAGCGAACCCCAAATTGCTCACACAACTACAGTACTGTGAAGGATCGGCTGATCCCACTCGTGTTAATAGTGGGAGAACGCGAGCTTCAAGAAGGCGTAGTGAAGCTACGAAATGTCAAGACAAGAGCGGAGCAGGTAGTACCAGTTTTTAGAGTTAAAGTTGTTTCAGCGGAGTATTTTCCTATTTGCGTTAAGGGGCTTGGTGAAGTTGTCAGGCCTGGGAGGACAGCACAATATTTTCACCTCCGAGAGTGGCCATTGCATTGTGCGAGGCGGAGTGGGTCTGCAGCTGCAGTAGGTTGTCCCTTCTCTTTCGGGAGCGGGGTTGTAGGGTAGCAATAACCAAGTGTGATCTCCGTACTCGCTATCCTCAAGGTGCAGCACTTTCGCGCGTAGACAGCGGGTTTGGCTGCGATATGGCGCGTATCTGGCAGCGCGGCAGCGCGAGGCGGAGTATGGAGTGGGAACCAGAGTATCGCTACCCCTCAGCCTCGTTGCTGTGCAGTTTTGAGCGAAGAATGGAGCGCGCTGCTGCAGCCACGGATTCATTCATTTCACAGATGGCAAGAATTAGGATCCCAGTGGTTAGTGTACAGTTTTTCCTTGGATAATCTAAAAATGTGCTACCAGGGCATGTCCTGTAGTTGGGAAAAATTTCGCAAAATGCCACCCCTTGAAAGTTCCTCCTTTGGTAGGTCTCTTCCCTAATCTCGTATCCTACCTATCATCTTCTCTAACTTTCTACCTGTTTTCCCTTCGCTTAAAGAGAAGAGACTGAGGGGTCATGGTAATGGAATTAATGTGATTTTTCAGGATGTACCCTTACCTGAGTTGGTTTCCACTCTTCGATCTACACTTTCGTCATTATAAGAAGCTGTGATATGCTCCTATGTCTGTCTATCCGTGTTTTCCCTAGCATGCAAGTTATTGCCCAGTGAATTTAGGTTTTATTAATTGTTATTACCATAATTTTAACACTGTGATCTGTGCAGCTGTGGAAGTTGTTGCATGTTGTTTCTAAATATATTGTTACCTTATTTACTGTTGTTTTTGGTTTGCCTAGTTGCTATGGGGTCCCTGTCATTAGTTGACGCTTAGCTGATATTTTATCATCCTGGTGCTCCTTAGAGGAACTGGTTTTAGCCGACTACAATAAACATTTGGAAGCTTTTGTTTTGTTTGGTTTTTTTTTCTTGGTTCCTACCACGGTAGTACTTCGTTTGTTTTCAATGTGAAACAATTGATGAATAACTATCGATGTTTTTGTACAAAAAGTTAGCTTTTGTTCCAGGACAGACAAAGATGTCTATGTCAAAGTCGTCCTACACGCAGTACAACAGAAAGAACTGGGAAGACGCGGATTTTCCTATATTGTGTCAAACATGTCTTGGAAGCAATCCATATTTGAGAATGGTAAGTAAAGTTGAGTGCAGTTCGGCTTGGTGGTAAGCTCTGCTCGTTTCCATCGAACACTAACGATGCCTGTTGTGGAGACTTGTAAATTCTTGTAA